CTTCTCTTCTATCATCATCATGATCTTCTCCATCATCATCATCATCACCATCTTCTTCTCTTCTATCATCATCATCATCATCATCATCATTGTCGTCTTCTGCACCCCCCCCTTCTCCTCCATCTTTTTTGGCTTACCTGATTTTTCTGTCTTTACATACCTTGCTTCTTCTTCTTTCTCCCCTAGAATTTGAGTTAGTTCTGGGTTGGCGAGTAAGGAGGGAGGGATAGCCATAATGACACATCCAAAAAGGTAGAATATAATTACAGAAAAGTCCAGCTATAATGTGGAATAATTGTTTCACCAAGATTAAAAATGGATCATTCACACAAGACTTAATGTTTTACAGCAAAAATATTAAAAGCATTCTACTCATAAGTAGTTAGAGCATTCCTGACCCAGAGCTGGGAGGACTTCACAGACCACTGAATCCAAGCCCTTCCTTTGACAGAGGAGGAAACTGTGTCCCCTTTACCACGGAGGTAAAGCAATTTGGCTAAGGTCACATAAGTTATTAGTAATAAGAGCCAGGATCTGAACCCAGGTCCTCTGACTCCATATGTGTGGATAGGCCTGTCATTTCATAAGGTCCATAATTTAAAGCAGGAAGCAGCCCTGGTTGTCATCTGGGCCGATCCCCTCATTTTACAGAGGAGGAAACTGAGGCCCAGAAAGGGAAGTGCCTTGTTCAAAGCCACCCGCACAGAGCAGGTGGTAGAGCTGGGATCCAAACCCAGGTTTTCTAACTTCAAATCCTTTCCCCTGCAAGATGTGGTTCACAACCCAATCTCCACCTCTGGCTAAAGCCACAAAGGGAATTATTGAACGTTAGTTGGTTCCTAAAAATGTCAAAAAGTTTATAATTCTAAAGGTCTGTTATTCGGCCCCAAGGAAAGAAAAGGTCGATGCCTCCAGGCCAGAACTGGGACTGGGCAATTAGACAATGAGAAAACCTGATGCGCATTCCACCAATATCACCTTTAGACCTGTGACCTCTTGTGATACAATATGGCGGGATGGTTAACTTAAGGCAACACAGAAAGAGTTGGTTGAACCAAAATGGTCTCATTTTAACAGGCAGAACTCAGCAAGTACTGGAAATAAATGATAACAGAAGGAGTTTTTTCTCCTTTCCACATCTGGTGATGTCTCTGTGCCTCCCACAGGACTCAATTTCCCATCTCCGCGTCTTTGCACTAACAGCCTCATGCCTGGAAGCCAGTCCCTCTTCACCTCCACCTCAATGGATTCTCCACCTCCTTCAAGACACGACTCAAGCACAGCCTTCTACTTGAAGACTCTCCTAGAAGCAGCCCCCCCAGCTTCGAGTAAGTACCCTCCCTGCCTAATTAACCCATGTTTAATTACTTTGTATTTACTCTCTTTATACTAATTCAGTATGTATGTGTACATGTCATAATATCTCACCCATTAGAACATAGAGATAATTTCATTCTTTGAATCTGCATCTGGAGCGCCTCATATAACACCTGGCACATGGTAGGTGCTTAATAAATGCTTGCAGGTTGAGCCGCTGACTGACTGAAGATAACTTGATATCTCAGGACATCTGACCAAGCCAACACAGCCTGTTTCTACTGGATGCCAAATCAGTCTGTCCTTTAAATAATCTCAATTAAAAAACTCTGGCAAACGGTCTGTTAGCAAACTGTGTCTAGATATGGGCACTGTTCCTTGTCACTGACTTTAAAAAAAAAATCTCACTTAAAATCTTAACAATATTATGACTTCTCAAATCATGAGACAGAGCATTGGGCCTGGAGTCAGGATGTCCTGAGTTCAAATCCAGCCTTAGACACTAGCTGTGTGACCCTAGGTAAGTCATTCAAATGCTTTCTGCCTTAATTTCTTCATCTGAAAAATGGAGCTACTAATAGCATCTACCTCTTAGCACTGGCATGAGGGTCAAATGAGATAAAAATTGTAAAGCCCTATATATAATGCTAACTATTATTATAGGGCAATTAGGGATAGTCAACCCAAAAAGAGAAAAATGTGGTCCATCCTTCATATTTTTTCAGGAAACTGAGTAAAAGTCCAACGATTTTCTCCTAACCTGAAGGACAAGAGGAAAGGGGAATCACTCCTTCCCACACACGATCTGATTATAAATCCAAAACCCAAAATATCTGATGCTGATTCAGCCTTACATTACATTTCTGTCAATGTCCCGCGTTCATGTTGTATTCCCCTGTTGACTATAAACTCCTTGAAGGCAGGCATAGTGTAATGTTTACCTTCGTATTCAAATCACTAAAAAGAGGATCTTTGAACTAGGAGACAATTAATAAATGTCTGCTGGATTTAATGGAATGGGATGGGTGCCAAACAAACTGATAGGCAGCAAACTGTTTTCTCAGGGAAAGAGAGAAGCAACTTGTGCCCAAAGAAACTTGTCCCCAAAGAACGGCGTGTCCCTTCTCTCAACATGGGAGGGTCCGAGTGGAGCCGTAAGGACTTACCTGTTGGTGTGCTACTGCGAAAGGAAGAGGAGGGGGTGATGGGAGGGGTAACGGGTGGGGTAAGGCTTCCACTGCTGTGGCGAGGTGGAGTGGACACATTCCCTCGAGACACTGAGCTGGACAGGGTCAAGGAAAGTTTGGGCTGAATTTTCTTCTTCAAAGACTCCTGCTCACGGCGAGCTGCATCAGTCATAAATCTGAAATATCAACAGAAGGTGGGGGGAGACAAGACAGGAATGGTGTCATTAAGGTTTGGCGAATCATCAGATATGCAAATCTAAAGCAAATGCATTGAAAATCTCCCAAAATGAATTGAACAAATGTCGACCGAAAAGGACGCATTGTCCTTGACTCAAAAAATTTCAGTAATTTTTTACTGCAAAAAAGAGGGATGTTAGTTGAACACAGCAAGAATCAGCTCAACTTAGCAGTGGAAGCAATTTTCAACACAAAAGCTACGTTCCTCAAGGAACTTTTTATGGACAGTTCCTGAGAAAGAAAGGTAACCCTGAGGTTTATCATTCCAGAATTGTGAGTTAGGTTCATGTAAGTCTTCCCACTTTCCCCCAGAGATACTGAATATGAAGTGGGACAGTGGGATCCAGGCTTATGCAAATATATTTATTATTCCCTAGATTTGTCTTATAGGAGTAACTCTGATATTCTACTGACTTGTTTTCTCTCTTACTGCTAAGGAAAAGGATATAGTTAAGATTTAAATATGTCATCATTAACTGTGTTTGTATAAATAGAAGCATACTGATAGGGGCACACGAGCTAAAGGGATGAGTAGAGGAAGTGTATGTCCCCCCCAAATCAAGTTACCCTTAGGTCCCTGACAGAGTCTGAGTGTCACCGCATTGGCAGACCTGTCAGTCTGAGGGCATTAGAGAGATCTGGCCCAGAGAGTAAGTATACACACACCTTGTGTGAAATGCGTGAGGTGCTACACACTGGGTAGAAACGCTGCATACCTGTTACATTGAATATGCTTAACTACGTCCCCATCAGCTGCATCATGCAGCCATGGAGAAATGCAAAATCAGAGGGTATCAGACCCTCTCTGCTTAAGATATTCGCTTGGCAATTATTAAAGCGGCTGCTAGGTGGCGCAGTGTACGAAACACCAGGCCTAGAGTCCGAAAGACTCATTTTTGGGACTCTGGCCTCAGACACTTAGGAGCTGTATGACCCTGGGCAAGCCACTTCACCCTGTCTGCCTCAGTTTCCTCATCTGTAAAGTGAGCTGCAGAAGGAAATGGCCAACCATACCAGTATCTCTTCCAAGAAAACTCCAAATGGGGTCATGGAGAGTTGGACAAAACTGAAACGACTAAATAGCAACACATTGTTAAGGCAGTGTAGTACAGACCCTGATTCAGAGTCCCAACACTTAGGTTCAAACGCTGGCTGTGATCCTTGTTAAGTATACGAGACCTTGGGAAAGTCACTGCCCTTGTGGGTTGGAATGTCTTCATGTGGGAAATGGCTAGATACCCCTAAGGTCAGCTCTGAATCTTCTTATTCCAAGATCTTCCTGCATGACCTTAAAGCTCCCAAGAAACGTCCTTCAAGACTCAGCAGAAGCCTTTCTCCGTCCTCCCTGCAGCAGGACACCTCCTCCCAACGCGACCTTGTATCCATCTTGTTTGGATTCTGTATGTATCTATATGTATGTAGGCGTGCTGGGTCTCCCATTAGAAGGTCAGGGCCTAATTCAGTCGTTTCTTTTTCTCCTCAGTGTCATTTAGCACAGTGCCTGGCATACGGTTGATGCTTAAATAAAAGGCTGTAGATTCACTGATTGATTAATAACAACAAGGGGCAAAGGAAGTCTCTTCTAAAGTGTTTACCTGGGGCAGGTGTTGTTAACCTGGGGTCTGTGAACCTGGTTTTTTAAAGTGCTTTGATAACTGCATTTGAGTGCAATTAATTTCCTTCGATCCTGTGTATTCTGTTTTACACATTCGAAGGCATTATTCTGAGGAGGGGTTTGCATGTTTAAGGGGTCCAAAAGGTGAAGCACATGTGACGGGGGGGGGGGGGGGGGGGCCGGCCCGCGCCCGGGCCGTCGGGGGCGGGGCCGAAGAACGGCGGGGGGGGGGGGGGGGGGACCCCACCTCGAAACTGCCAATAGGACATTACAGAAATCCCCTAGCACACGGTTTGTTACTTGTGACGCTGATAGATTAGCCCCGATATTGTTGGGGGGAAGGTCAGAAAGAAGGGCCTCCCGCTGGCACGCGGGGCGTCCCTGCAGCTCTCACGAGAGGCTGGCCCCCCACGGCAGCTCTTCCACGGTTCCCTGCGCTGCCTCCAGCCCTAAGCGCTCCACAGTCTGCAGGCGGCCGGCTCCATCCGTGGGCAGCGAACAAAGGGAGCCGCCTCTCCCGCTGCAGAATCCCAGCGAACACCGTGAAACGCTACTCACGTTGGAACGGCTGGAACGGCTCCTAACACTCGGCCTTTAGCGCTGGGAGCCGCCCCGACGCGCTGCGCTCCCCAGATGCCTCCTGCAGCCCAATCTGGGGGCATAAAGTCACATGCACAGGTCTAAGCCCCGGGCAAGAAAATAACCAGGCTGGAGAGGGTGGAGGGGCCCCACACTGAGCAAGGGGAGAGGAAGAAAGAGTAAGAGATGGGGGGGGCAAGAGCAAGAAAGACGATGAGAATGAATGAGGGAGGGGAGAGAGAAGAGGGGGAGGGGAAAGGGAGAGGAGAGAAGAGGGGGAGGGGAAAGGGAGAGGAGAGAAGAGGGGGAGGGGAAAGGGAGAGAGAAGAGGGGGAGGGGAAAGGGAGAGGAGAGAAGAGGGGGAGGGGAAAGGGACAAAGGGAGGGGGAGAGGGCGGGGGAAGGGCAGAGGATGAGTGGGGGAGGTGGAGATGAAAGGGGGGGGAAGGAGAAGGGGAGGGGGGCAGAGAATGAACCCCCCAGGTGGGTCTCTTTGCAGCTTGTTCTTTCCTCGGCCAGAATCCTCCTCTTAGGCCTCTCCATAGCCCCCCTCCCTAACTACCTCGTCTTCATTTTGCATTTGTGCTGTTACCCTCACAATGGGCACATACGTGTTCTCTCTCCTGACATCACAAATCCGCTGATTGTTTGCTTTTTGCGTTTGTGATTTTGCTAAGGCAGAGGTCTGACCTTGCCCCCTGCTCCCCCCACCCCTCACTAACCCCCAGTGACTGTTACCTTTAGGACTGCACGGGGAACGCAGTGTAGCAGGTAACCCCCCTCCCAGCGCAGACTCTCCCCTTGCCAGTCTAACACACAAGACCCTTCCACACTCACCAGGGTCTGTCTGGCCGCACTGACCCCCTTGCCTTTCCTCACCCATTTTCCGTCCCTTTCCAGGCTGTTTCCCATGCCTGGAATACTCTCCCTCCTAACCTCTGACCCTAAATCCCGGCACCTTCGAAGCCTCACCTCTTGGGCAGGTGGGCGGTGCAGTGGATAGAGTTGAAGCCGTGCACCGCGCGACCCTCAGAGAGGGCTAAGAGCACTTCCCTCCCAGCGCTCTTGGGGAGATGAAATGGGCCAATGGTCCGCCCTACAAACACTACCCTGGGCCCCCCCCCCCCCCGGGCCTCCCCTTGGCTCGGCTGCCAGTGCACACTTCCCTGACACACCCGCACCCAACGTGCCGTCATCATCCCTCTTTTAGGGTTTTCCTTTGCCTCCCCCTCCCCTCCATTCCCAAGAGCCCCACGCTGGATTCTTGTTGACTGACACATCTGATAGGAACGAAAGCAAGACGACGAAGCTCATCAATGATGCATCCGATCAAAGACACCCAGGACCCCCTCTCCTGGCGCAAGGACACCCACGATCCTATGACATCTAGCTCCCTCATCCCTGACTCTATTTGTCCAGGAAGGAGCAGTAATTCCTACTTGGGAGTCTGGGTATTCATTTGGCTTTTTGGATGTGGGTCTGGTCGTAACTAAGATGGAAACCAGCTCCCTCCCTCACAGACCAGTCATAAACGGTAGATTCTGCAAGATAAAAAAAAGGATCTGCCTTTTTGGAGGCTAAATAGATCTGAGGGAGCAAAATGTTCCCAAATCATGCCCAGGTCTCCCTCCCGTCTAAGGGAAAGGGAGGAAGGTTCAGGCACTGATATTTTCCGAGATAAACAGCTCTGATGGATCAGTGATGACTGCCAGTGTCACTTTCATTCTGACCAAATGTCTCAACCAACAAGCATTTATTAAGCACCTATGATGTACTAGGCATTAGACTAGGTGCTGGGGAAAGCAAGACACAAAAGAAATGGCCCCTGCCCTTGAGAAACTGAAATTTTTAGGAGACAAAAAGTGTGCATCGGTAACCACACAGAGAATTACAAAGTCAATCAGGCGCTGCGTTTTTTTGGGGGGTGCCCAGCATGCCACCTCTTGCCTCTTCTGCTCCCCATACTTTACTTTCCAATCAGAGGCTGGGGGATATCTTTTCAGTCTTCCCAATGAATATCAATTATTGTGATAATGAGATCACTGAGACAATATTTTAAAGCTGAGCAGCCCATAGTAGGTGCTTAATAAATACATATAGCTTGATGGATTCCTGACTCCACATCCCGTGCTCTATCCACTGTCCCACACTGCCTTCAGCTGTCTGTCAATGAGGCTGCTGAAGCTGATCTGGGGGCAAACGCCGCTGGCAGGGAGAAGCTGGCTTCAGGGGGAACTTGACAGCCTTGACTGAAAGGGTCTGGTGCCAGCCACGGACCAAAGACCCCCCAAATCTGAACGTCTCCAGAAAACAAAACAGCTTCCCATCTAAAAAGCCAGCCTGTTACTAAGCCCCTGCGGAGTTATAAAGAGCTTTTGGCAGACAGGCCTTGTTAAGTGGATCCTAGCCAGGATACATGATGTCATTGGAAGATATTAATAATAACGAGTTTTGGACTTGTCTACCCAACTGCAGAACTTCAGAGCTGGGAGGGGCTTAGGAGGCTGCCGAGCTTCACGCCATCTTTCTACACATGAGGAAACTGAGGATCAGGCCTCAGAGTCTTAGAAGACAGTCAGGACTGGAGCTGAGGGGCCAGGGAAGTCCATTTCCTGCCTCCCACTACCTTTATTTCCTGCATGCTCTTTCCAGGCAAACGGACCCTCTAATGTTCTCTGCACATGCCACTCCTTCTTCTACCTCTGGGCCTCTGGCAAAAAGCTCCCTCACCATCCAAATCTGAAAATCTGCATAGCACT